GCGTCTGGTCCAAGTCCAGGCGGTCGAACTCCTCTTGGATCTCCTGCTCCGTCATGGAGCACTCGCGTGCCACCTGCATGGCCTCCTGCACCATGGTCTCGGCGCCCTTGGTGCAGGACTCGACCTCTGTGTCCGAGCCCTCGACGGTGTCGACAGCCGCCTGGGGCGGGGCAACGCTGGGGGGAGGTATGGTGTAACGGTCATGTTCATCATGATCATCATCCTCATCATCATCATCATCATCACCACCGTCACGATGGTCATCCTCATCATCATCATCACCAGCACCATCATCATCGTCCTCATCATCCACATCCTCGTACCCCTGGATCCGACTTGGGCTCGATTTGGGCCCGATTTGGACGCGCCCAAATCGGATCCAAATCGGCCCAGCACTGCACCCACGCGTGCTCAACTCGGCACGCCCAGTCAGCGCGCGTGGCACCCGCCACATGCGCCCACGGGCGCCCACCAGGCGAAACCCCTGCAGACCCACCCAGCACTCGGAGCCCCACGACGCGCCCGCGCACGTCCAGGAGGCGAAACCTCGGCGGGCCCAAGTCGGGCCTGCCCCCCTGCAGGCGGATTTCGGAATGGAAATGGAACAACTAATCCAAACTACCCCGCGTATCCACGCACAGATTTGTGCATTTACAACACAATATAACATCTCTACGCATGTATGACGGTACGCCATGAACCCTATAAACCTACATAATAAACACACACGTAAATGAACCCATACATTATTACACGAATGCATGAAAAACTGAACATATACACACATATAGATATTCGCCCGCTGGCCTTGTCGGGCTGGCTCGCGGCGCCCGCCGCGCGGGCCAGCTCGTCCAGGCCCGTCAGCTCCATCGCCTTGCTGGGACAAGACTGAAGGAGGAAGAGGATTTAGAGAAGGAATGCGATCATCAGGAGGTGGAGGAGGAGGAGCAGGAGGATGAGGAGGAGGCCAGCGCACCACGACGACGACGACGACGACGACTGCGACGTAGGAGGAGGAGGAGGAGGAGGAGTAGAAGGAGGAGCAGGAGGAGGAAGGTGAGAACGGGGAGGAGGAGGAGGAGGAGGAGGAGGAGGAGGAGGAGGAGGAGGAGGAGGGGAAGGATGAGGATGAGGAAAAAGAAGAGGAAGAGGTTGATGAGGATAAGGAGGAAAAGGGTTAGGTATGATAGACATCTCCTGATCGCCCTCCCTCCTCCCCGTGTCATTCTCATTCCTCGCCTATCCTTAATCATTATTCCTCCTCATCTCCGTCCACCTGCTCTTCATCATCATTTCCTCCTCCTCCTCCTCCTCCATCTCCTCGTCCTGACCATTGTCATCATCATCATCATCATAATCATCATCATCATCATCATCATCACCACCACCACCACCACCATCATCATCATCATCATCATCATCATCCTGGGGTGGGGGGGTTAGACCCGTGGGTCGCCATTGGCACCCGATGCATCCACCTGCGGATGTCGGACCACCGCGGCTCGGCCTGCATCTGCGGGGCTCGAGCCGGGGCCCTCCGACGAAGGGGGAGGGGTGGGAGGGGGGGAAAGATGAGCAAGAGGAGTAACAAGGTACTAGGAACTAGGAGACGAGGGATGACCCTGCTGCAGATCCTCCTGCTGCTCCTCCACATCCATCACTCCTCCTCCCGACGCGAAGGATCGACGGGATTACGGGGGCTCAACGCTGAAGAAACATAGCAAAACATGGCAATATGCACGCTATCCCGTAAGGGTCTTATTCTCTTAAATCAGGCATGTTAGAAAATAAGAAGCTACATGCCCGATCTTAAATTAAGATCCTGCCGGCCTCTGGGACGCACGCACACGCACACACACACACACGAATACACACAAATCCCAGGATTCCCAATATTCTATTGTTTCGATATGTTCTGGGCATTCGTCTTGCCCCCACTTCCCGTACTTCCCTAAATTTTCCTGGGAGTCGACGATTCAGTGTGTCTGTGTGTGTTCTCCCCTCCTGATAGTGGAGGCGGCTGGGGCGCCTGCTCTGGCCGGGCGCCGGCAGAAGCCGGTCGGGAGGGGCGAGGGGGCGAGCTCGGCAGCCAATGCCTATCTGGAGAAAGGGGGTCCTCCTCCTCTTCCTCCTCCTCCTCCTCCTCCTCCTCCTCCTCCTCCTCCTCCTCCTCCCCTCCCCTCCCTCCTCCTCCCCTCCTCCCTCCTCCTCCTCCTCCCCCTCCTCCTCCTCCTCCTCCTCCTCCTCCTCCTCCTCCTCCTCCTCCTCCTCCTCCTCCTCTTCCTCCAGAGGGGACGGGGACCGAGACCTGTGTGCGGTGGTGCCTGTCCCCCCAATCTAGCGTTGGGTCGGGCGTGGTTTGTCCTCCTACAGGGATTCTGGAAGAAAGATGGCACATCGTCAACACAGTCCTGAGAAGAACCGATAGTGAAGTCGATTCAAAGAGATCGATACTGAGATCGATCGTGAGATCGCTGGTGCGATCTATAGTGGGATCGATTGTGAGATCGATAGTGAGATCGGTAGAGGTGCCAGCCAAAATCGGCGGGGAACCCGGGACCGGGAACCCGGGAACCCAGAACCGGGAACCCGGGAATCCGGCCGCCCACCGAAATTGGCCAGCGAACTTTCGCCAGATCTTGCAACATCCGCTGGGACCATTACAGTGCAAGCATTGGTTGGGGAAAACTATCGGAGAATCGTCCCCAGTCTATTTGAGGTTATTTTTGAAGGTTCCCGACTAAAACCTAGCGGCTGAAACCAGTGATGCCCAGGCTCGGGCTCTTGGCTGGTTTCAGCGGCACGAGATCTTGCAGTCAGACATGTTTGGGCACCCTGTTCGGCCGAGGTCGGACTTCGCGGGGAACCTATAGACTCCAGTGGGTGCCCGGGGTCGCGGGAGGACAACACACCTCCGTGGGGCACCTGCTGGCCAGGCTGGTTTGGTGGGTTTGTTTTCCACCACCACCACCATGAGTAGGAGGGGGAGGGGGTCCTCCTCCTCCTCCTCCTCCTCCTCCTCCTCTTCGTCGTTCTCCTCTTCATCCTCCACCTCCTCCCCCCCTCCAACTTATGGTGGTGGTGGTGGAAAACAGGCCCATCACTGGGTGCTTCTTTGGCGAGCCGGCCGCGTGAAGGGCCACCGTCCACGCGGGTCGCGCACCGCATGCCGCCCGCGCAGCTTCAAGCCGAACGGCCGCGGGCATGGACCTCGCGCTCGGGCCTAAGGCGCCCCCCGACCCAGACATCTGGCTGCTCCAATTTTTTGGGGGGGCGCGGACCCAGGAGCTCTGGACCTCTCGCATCCGCGATTGCATGGTCCTTGGCACGCGTGCCCCTTGCATTTCCGCCGTGTTTTATCTTTTTGGTTTCGCGACCTGTAGTCAACATGACGTAACGCACTTTATCGACGATCCGATTGCTCCAATCATCGCCGAAAAAAAAGGACCACTTCCCTGGGACCGGTTTTTCGTCCAGAGTCGTCTTTTGACGCTCCCGAGGCCCGGCGAGGGCCCCCGGAGGCCGAAGACTGGCAAAAGCCGCCCGCTCCATTTTTTCGGGAGCGTCGGATCTCAGGGGAGGGAGGTCCCCAGTCGGGGGCAAGGCAGCGGTCGCACTCTCACCCAGCGCACGGGCGAACCTCTGGCGACAGCAGCCCGCGCTGCCCTCCTCTTCTTGGCGACTGCACGGGCGGGGGCGGAGAGACGCATACTCGTCGTTCACTTCTAATTGTGCTCGTTTCTAATTGTGTTTGCTTTTAATTGTTCCTGGCCCCCTAGTGGCCAGGAAGAGGCCCAGGATAGAACAATTAGAAATGAAAAGATCTTGGCCCCCCCAAAATGAAAGAACTTTCGAATTCGCTGGCCCAACGGGCCAGAGGCGTGCTAAGATCTCCGGTAACATTATACAATATTTCTACTCCGCGCGCGCGGGGCGGCCCCTGGGGGTCCCCGGACCAAAAGTACCCCGGGCGCGGCCCGGGCGCGGCCTGGACGCGGCCCGGGCGCGGCCCAGGAGACTCCCCCAAGGCTCTCAGGATCGCCCCAAGAGGGCCCCAAGAGACACCCAACACGGTCCAAGAGAGGCCCGAGACGCCCGAAGATCGCTCCACGACGCCCAAGCTGGCATCCAGACAGCCCAAGAGGCTTCCAAAATGGCCCTAGAGGCCTCCAAGATGCCCCAAGAAGCCTCCAGGAGCACTGCCAAGAGAACCCACAGAAGCAGAAGTCATTGCTTTCCCTCAGGTTATGGACAGATTTAGACGTTTCCACCTTTTCGGCTTGCCGACGCCCCTAGACGGCTCAAGAGGCCCCCAAGATCGCCACAAGAGGGCCACAAGAGGGCCCCAAGACGGCCAAAGACGACCCAAGACGGCTCCAAGACGGCCCAAGAAGCCCCCAAGACGGCCCAAGAGGGCCCCAAGAATACCTCAAGAGGGGCCTCAGAAAAGGGAACACGAAACAACATCTCGAACTCTCGGCCCTCAGAGGCCCCCAGGAAGCCCCGAGAGGCCCCCAAGAGGCCCCAAGAGGCCCCCAAGACGCCCCCAAGACGCTCCAGGAAGTCCCCAAGAGGCCCCCTAAAGGCCCCCAAGCGCCCTCAGGAGGCACCCCAAATGCCCCCCGAGCACTCAACCAGCCAGTGATCCTCCTCCTCCTCCTCCTTCTCCTCCTCATCCTCCCTCCTCCCTCCTCCTCGTCATCCCTCCTCCCTCTTGAGCCCCCAGGGCCCCAAAAACAGCTTCCAAGAGACCTCAAGAGGCTTCAACACTGCCTCCAAGAGACTCCCGGAACTCATGCCAAGAAAACCCCACCAACGCCGCATTGACAACGATCCCTCGGGCAAACAGCAGAGATGAGGCTGCATGGGCCGGCGGAATGAGCGAAGCGATTAAATAATTAGAAATGATCCATGTGCACAATGATGGTGACGATGATGATGGTGTTGGGGGCGGCACGATGATGATAGTGGTGGTGATGACGACTTTCTGCCGGGCTGAAGCCGATCCGCGCCGTGCGCTCTCTGGCCGCCGCGCGCTCGAAGCGAGGCTGCGGGGCGAGGAGGACCGCGCGGAGCCCGCGGGGCACGGCGCAGAGGTGGCGCGGAGGGCAGAGGTCCCGCGCGACTCCACAGAACAGGGCACGAGAGACTCGGCAACGCCAACGCCCCCTCTTGCTCCTCATCCCTGACCTCCTCCCCACTCCGGCCTCCTCGCTCCCCGGCCTCCTGAACTGAAGCAATTTGGGCGCAGGCGGGTGATTGGGGGTCGAGGGACCTCGTTGATTCCCACGCGCGCAACTCTCGGGGCTTCCACGTAGCGCTTGAGGGACCCAGGTCAAGGGCCACGCCACAGCCCGTGACCTGCGACTAACACCGAGATTCGTTGTTTCTGTTTTGTCTTGCGCCATGTCCAAGCTGTGGTCACGGTGCCAGCAGTGCCGCAAGTGCGAGTGGAACCATCTCATCGTCAAGAACGGCAGCTGCTGCTCAGGTTGCGGCGCCCCCGTCACTCTCTACAAGCGCCAGTCGCCTGCTGGGCGCCATGTACATGTGGAGGACGAGACACGAGGTGATGAAGGTAAGCCTGGGGGGAAAGG